AATACCGTACTCCCGTGAAATTGCAGTTTTTTTTAATGATTTTTTTTTTTAATTCTACAGATTTGTAAAATAAAATAAATTATTGTTTAAAGTTAAAAAAAATTCAATCATGGATGTGACGAATAAGTATTAGCTATATAAATTATATAGCAAGTACTTATTCGTCACTCCAATGAGTTTTTAATTAGTGGAAAATAATTTGGCCGATCAACGCAATGAAAAAAAAAGATCCAATAGATCTGATGTAAAATTTTAATTAGTCGGAATTCGAATAAACTAATCAAGAGAATTTTCATTTCGATGAATAAAATATGGAGGTGCAGACAGTATTTAAAATTGAATTTTAAAATTGTATGCGGATTAAATATTTCATTTTAATAAAAGTTGCGGGTTCAATTTTTTTTCTTAATAAATTATTTTTATTGAGTAAAAAATTTTTTCTTACGTATGCGGAATCCGCATATGCTTGAAATAAGATTTTTGCGGAACCAATTTTAATCTGCGCTCCACAGATTCCGCATATAGATTTTAAACACTGGGTGCAGACTCTTCATAGAGTTTACTCTGATTGGCTAAAATTTAAAATCCGCAATTCTCACAATGAATTTTAGCTACCCCAGCAGGACCATGAAAGATCGGCGCAGATGCACCAATCAGATCTCTTCTAACAATCGACTCTCTATGAAACCACCTTCTGCGCACTAACAAAAAAAATTCTCCGCAAAATTTTAGTATAGAAAAAAACCCTAACATCGGTTATAACCCTAACCCTAACGTAAGTTTTATTACTTTAAAAATTCGATTGTTTTATTAGTGTAGATCATCTGATTGGTGCATATTGTCGATCTTTCATGGTCCTGCAGGGGTAGCTATGAATTTTCAGCACATCGTTACAATTTGATCGTAATAACCACTTCAATTAATGGCAATGATTGAGCAACATCCCGATAATCCTCAAATCACATTGAGGGAGCTGCTTGAGGACGCTCTTAATATTCGTATTTGCACCATGAACCATCCGCAAAATTGTTATAAGGATTATTTATAATACTTGTGCACGATCTAAATCACATTGAGGGAGTTGCTTGAGAACACCCTAAGTAGTGTATTCAATTGATAAAATTTGGTTTATTCGGAGGTTAAATATTACAGCGGATTTGAACGGATATTTTGATCAGATACAAAAATCCAGTAGGATTTTGAAGGGATCCTAAGAACTAATCTGGGGGATATAAAAAGATTAGTTCTTGCAAAATATTTTAGTGTTAATATATTATAAATAAACAAAAATAATACAATGCATAAATTTGGATTTCAATAATATTTAACTTTGGTAAACAAAGTTTGACTTTTAGAAGACTCTCGAATTTCGATAAAATTTTCGAATATCGATAACACTTTCGAATATTTATAACACTTTCTAATTTCGATAACATTTTTGAATATCGATGACAACTTTCGAATTTCGATAACACTTGCGAATTTCGATATCGAATTTCGAGAAGTTTCGAAAGTAAAATTTTGTCGAAACTAATTTTGAGACACTTTCGATATCGATACTTCTCAAAAGTTTCGAATTTCGAGAGGCATCATTAAGCCCGACTGAACAGGTTAGATATCAAAGAAAAAGCGATGGCTAGGGAAATTTGATAACCTGATTATACAAATTGAATATCAAGTGAAAAAGGTAATCAGAAAAAGAGTAGGAAACTTGATAGCCCAACTGAATAAGTTGGATATTATAGTAAAAGGAATGCTGGAAAAACAGTAGAAAAACTCGGTATCCCGATGGAATAATTGGATATCAAAGTGAAATAGATGACCGGAAAAGAGTAGGAAACTTTGATAGCCCAACTGAACAAGTTGTATATCAAAGTGACTATCGGAAAAGGATAGGAAACTTTGATAGTCCAACTGAACGAGTTGGGTATCAAGTGAAGAGATGATCGGAAAAGGATAAAGAGCCTGATAGCCCAACTGTACCAAGTTTGATATCAAAAGTGACGATCGGAAAGGATAGGAAACTTTGATAGTCCAACTGAACGAGTTGGGTATCAAATGAAGGAATAGATGGTCGGAAAAAGAATAGGAAATTTGATAGCCCGACTGGACAAGTTGATATCAAAGAACAGTCCTGGCGTTACCAATCTAAAAAATTTCGCTATCTGGTCGAATTAAAATTCAAGATCAGGTGTAACATAAAATCAAAACAAAATAAACCCAAACCCTAACCCTAATGCCAGTAGCGAAATTTTTTTAGGTTGGCAACGCTAGGGTGCTAATATCAAAGTAAAGGGATGACCGGGCAAAAGGGTAGGAAACTTGATAGTCCAACAGACCAAGTTGAATAATAAGGAAAGTTAGCGAACCTAGCAAAAAAAAAAAAAAAAAAAGGATAAAATGATGCTAGGAAACGACTGGTGACCACGTGAAACAGCGAGGCGATACTTCATTCGTGTATTTCGTAGGATTGATTATTCAAGTTGTTTAGGATTTTCTGATTAAATTTCATATTGTAAGTTTTTGTTTTATTAATTAATCAGTACCATTATTACTGGGTAGTGACTTCATTTTTTTTATTAATTTTACATATATATACACATGTATAATTTATAGTACAGTACAGATACAGATAAATTACATAAATAATGTGATATTGTTACCTTCAAAGAACTACTTTTAACAGCATCTTGACTTTGTTTTAAAAAAATTCCGTTAATGAGAAAATAATTTTCGCTAAAAAAACGGCATATTCATGACTTGATTTAGGTAATTTATACATGCGACTTTAGCAAGGGCAATTTTTTACAGGCAAAAAGTACAATTTAAGGGATAGATTATGATATAAAAAACCCCATAATAGTTTATGCGAGACAAGCCAGAAAAGGCATTGTATATGATAAGAAATATACGTATAATGCTGATTTAGTATGTCGGTGACAAATATTTTGTAATACCGATACCGTGCAATATCAAAAAGCAATTGTCGTAATTAGTTAGTGAATATCACGAGATGAATTTGAATAATCGTTCAGTGTTACGTTATTACGTCAGATTACTTCACAACAGGAACTTGACCTTCGGAACACAGTATCCTAGTGAATAATTGGTTATCATCTACAAAAATTGTGCTAATTTCTTCACAGTAATCATCTATTCACGACCAATAACAAGCTTATATTGTCTCTAAAGAGGGTTAAAATATCTTATATAGATTAGTGTTATGGGATAAACCGAAATTGTGCGAAACATTTTACTCAGGTGAAATGATTTGGATTCCAAAAATAGTTAACCATTATTAGGCGGATTCTGAAAAATAGTTTAGCCCAAATACTAATGTAGATAGACTAATTGATTAGTAATCAAAGCGGACTTTAAATGGACATAAAGACAAAATGATTAAGGCTTCTTCTATACTAAACCACAGTAATTATAAAACAAGTAGATTAATTAAACGTTAGATACGAAAGATAATGTAGATTAATAATTAACAAAAAATTAATTATATTATAATCTTGGGCTTAATAAAGATATATATTCTTTAGAGATTATAAAATTTTGTTTATTCACTATACAGTCTTAAACGCGGCCGATATAAAAAAATCTTTTTCTAAAGGCGGATTTTGAGCTCTGGTGATAAAAGTGAAAATTATCATTTTCATGATAAAGTGCAGTATTTCGAGTTTTATATTAAAAAGGTATGAACCTAAATGTTGTCAATAACCAAGTTTACGCGTCGTGTCATGTCATGCCATGTCGACGTGTTAGATCAACACGTTGCAATCAACCCAATCAACCTAACGAATTGATTTATCATTATGCATGTTCCCCTTGTGATAAATCGGTACAATGGTGATAATGATAAGATATTACAAAAACAAGTAAATCATTACTGTATTAAGGAGTTCTTATTTGTAAAACCTTATAATTATAACGATAACGATAAATGATAATACTTGTGCTTATTTTGTATTTCAGCCTGTTTCGAAGTAATGCCCATGTCCGCTATTTAGATAATTTGTGATATATATTTTTATTATAGTATTTTTTTTTCATCCACTTTTTTCTTCAACATAAATTCCCTGGTACATTTTATCTTCATTGAACGTATGTTCAGTACGTACGAATATTAAATGAAATTTAATATTGTAAATATTTGGTAATAACATAAAGGAAAAAATCAACACTATTATTAATAGAAAGACAATACATATTGATATTTTTACGTAGTACGTACTATTACTTTTAACTGTTAAAAATGCACTTACTCGAGTTACGACATGTATCAAAATCGATACTTTTACTGCAAAAATATATGTATATACGTATCATCATATGCAACACTAGAGTTTAATTAGCAAATTACCTGCTTGTGCATTTATTTCTAAATTAATTCTTTCATTTTAGGTTTTTAAATGTTAAAAAGAGAAAAGATCTGATGAAATATTTAATGTTTTAGTTGCACCTGATGTTTACTAATAATATATATATATATACGTATATATATTATCTGTTATCTACTGTATTTGATGTAACTTTTATTGCCGTTTCTTCTTCCATAAGTTGTTGACAAAAAAAAAAAAAAAAAAAGCTATGTAAATAAAGGAAAAAAAATCATTCCTAAGTATACGTGAGTGATTAAACTTGCGTTAATAATGATTCCTATAAATATATTTTTGCTAATTACTCTTTTAATTTCGAGATTATTCATAACTAAGGTTAATTCTACGCCTCAGGCTAGATTTGCTCATACCAGTATTATAGTTAATTCAAATTTATATTTTATTGGTGGTGAATTGTTAAATGGTGCCGGTACTTCAAAAGATTTCTTTTTTCTTGATTTATCAGTTCCTTTTAACACTTCATCCCCACGATGGATGGATCTTTCTACAACTTCCATTCCTATTAGTAGTTCATGGTGTACTGTTTCACTGGGTGGATCTAAAAATGATATTATATTTTTAATTGATGGTTTGATGTTCGATTCAAATAACAAAATTAGTACCTCATTAGTTTATACATTCAATACATTTGACCAAACCTGGTCTGCTCCAAAAATTTCTGGTGATTCTCCACAAAGGCGTAAAGAAATAACTTCTTTTTTTAATCCCAGTGACAAAAAAATTTATATATTTGGTGGATTATCTGATACAACAACTGGTTCATCCGAATCTTTGTATTATAATGATATGATTATTTTAGACACTATTCATTTAACTTGGACTATGAATACTTTTTCATTTGCTCCTACAAAAAGGGCTGGGCATACATTAACAATGTGGAATGAAATGGTTTTTATGATCGGAGGGAAAGAGATTTACACTAATGATAATAAAGTAAAACTTGTAGATATGAATGAAGTATATATTTATAATTATCTAAAAAATTTAAACATATATAGAATACTGTATTTACTTTCAACATTTACAGGTCTGGGTATACGATACGAATTCAGGAATTTGGTCGCTTCATGTAATTTTTCTATTCTTTATAATTTCAAACTCATCAACATTTGATAACAAAAAAATTTTATAATTATTTAGACGGCTATTGGTGATAAAATCGATTCTCGTATCTTTCATACTGCTGTACTTGATAAATGTATACATAATATTTTTTTAGTTTTATTTTATTAGAATTGTTTTAAATTATTTTTAAAATTATATTTAAGTAGATTCTTTCATTCCTTTATAGATCATCGTGGAAGGATCATTATTTATAGTGGAATGAGTGATAATCCTTCAGATCTTAGAGTTTTTCCAGACCTTGCAATACTTGATATTACATCATCTCCATTTAAATGGATAATACCAAAAATTTCATCATATAATGCTCCTCCACCTCTTACAGCTCATACTGCAGTGATGGTGAACAATTATATGATTATATCATTTGGTAAATAATATTTTCATTCTCTTTTGAATATAATCCTTTTGAAATAATGGTCAGTCTTAAGTGCAAATGGTTAATTATAGTGTCGTAATGGATCAGCAAATCCTTCAAATTATGGATCAAATTTGGTATAAGAACACCACTAATAATATATATTATTAAATTAATACTAAGTTTGATCCAAATTATTTTATTATTCGAAATTTATAATTAATTTCGAATAATTTATGGAATTTTGATTTGAAGGAACCTCTGTTCTCAATTGGATTATATAAGTTTAAAGAATATTAAGTAAATAAAATTAAAATAGTATTTATTTAATTAATTTTTATTTACTAATAATATAATTGAAGTTAAATATTAAAAATTCTTATTATTTTATAGGCAAATCTACATCTAATACTACTGTTTTAAATAATGAAAGTCCTGTTATTTACTTGTTTGATACAATAGGTTACAAATGGGTTACATCATATTTTCCAAGTAATTAACTTTTTTTTAATCTTGCAGTTTTTTATTTTTATTTATCTTGCAATTTTTATATATAATTCACCTTTTTTTTAAAAGATGAACCGAAAGTTTTATTAGCAGCTGACTCATCAGCCACAAATGATCCAAACTTAAGTGATACAGGTTCAAATGGTCTTTCGATGCCAGCAATTATTGGTATAGTTACTGGCGTGGTATTTTTCGCATTGGCACTTTTGCTCCTTTTTTTCCGTTATTATCAAAAGCATAGAATCAAGTCTGCATCACCGGAAGTTCTGATAGCTACTGATCCTATATTTATTCCTCTATCAGTCAATAATGAGACAAATCAACAACCAAGTTCTCCAATAAATATGTCTCAGAGAACATCTTCAACTCCTATAAGTAGTACTCCAAATCGTCCATCTTCTCTATCATCTGCAAGTAGTGGCTCCATTCTTAAAAAACAGCCTCGACTGAAAAGTCTAAATCAAAAAGTACAATTTCAAGGACATTCACAAGTAGATCCACAAAATTCTCAAGTAAATTCTCAACAATTACAAGTAGATTCTCGACAGTCTCTGAAATCTCAACAATCAGAATTAGATTCCCGACAGTCTCAACAATTACAAGTAGATTCTCGACAATCTAAACAGTCTCAAGAATCTCAAGTAGATACTAAACGGTCTCAACAATCTCGAGAATCTTATCAATCACAAATAGAGTATCGACAATCTCAATATTCACAAGTATATTCTCAACCATCTAAAGTTAGTTCTCGAAAATCATCATTACAAGAAGATTCTCGACGAGTAAGTTTTCAAATAACACAAGTAGATTCTCGACAATCTCAACAATTATCGGAGGATCCTCAACAATCACAAGTAAATTCTCGACGATCTCAACAACCACATGAATATTCCCGAAAATCATCAATGGATTCTCGTAATTCTCCACAAATCCAAGAGTCACAGCAAATCCAACAAATAGAACCACTGCAATACCAACAAGAACCGCAACAATTACAACAATTCCAAATGCATCCATCACAATTTCCAATACATCCTCCACAATATCACGAAACAGAACAACAACAATTCCAACATATTGATCCAATATATCAGCCAACAATATATACTGTACCATTTCCACAAATGCGCCCACAAATATACTCACAACTTCAGCCAACATATCCTCCGGTACATCCGCAACCTATTATATATTCTCATTATCCGAGTGGTTATTCTCCAGGGAATTATCCTATTTATTCTCCAGGGAATTATTCTCCAATTCAACCAAATTTTAATGTTATACCTGAGACTGTTGAAAATGAACAACCAATACATATATATACAACTAATGATGGACAACAAGAAGGTTATCAACAATATACACCTAGTAATGAATCGGACAAAAAGTTTCCTGACCCAAGGGGTTAAAAAAAAAAAAAGCAATATATTATTAGTAATATTTTATTACGTATTAATAAATTTAATGTAGAAAAAAAATATATATATATGCATGTACACATTATTTTATTATTAATTATTATATCATGATTTTTAATGTATAACCAGATATTCGGAACTTTATTATAATTTTTATTATAAAATTAAAAACTGGTGGATATTTGGTAATATAGTAACCTTACTGAAAAAATGGATTAATATTAGAAAAAATTAAACTTTACTAATACGGAGCAAAATTAATTAGCGTTAGCAATTTTATAATGAAAAAAAAATTGCTAATTTTAACCGGGGGATTTTCCCTGTATGATATTAGCCAATAAATTTGTAGGATCAGGTGTAACGTGTTATGTAACAAAAAAGAAATTTTTAAAACAAAAAAAAAATTCCTTGCTAAATTTTGCATATAATAATGCTTAGACAAAATCCCAGGCCGCGCCTTAACCCTAAAATAAAATAAAGGAATTTTTTTAAAATACGATTTATTTTGTTTATTTTAAAACCGGTTAGTTGGGCAAATTTTTGAATACGGTAATTTGACTGGCTACACGTGCCGCAAAGCGGTACGTGTTCATTTGCTAAATTACCGTTATTCAAAAATTTTTGCCCGATAATGTATACTTGTTTTCTTTTATAACTGTATAATCGACATTAACGTTAAACAAAAAATTTAACATTCCCACCCCAAAAAACATTTATTTTTCGAGAAAAGCACATACATATCTTTAAAATTAATTACTATAATTATGTCAACGATAGACGACCTTTCTGTGACAATGCCTTACAAAAATAGCTTTTCCTATAAAAATGATAACATAAACGTTATTATCATTGAAAATAATGTCCGAGCAATGATCGAAAGGATAAGCGGTGATATCGCAAGGTTGTACTTTGTAAATAACCACGAAGTTCAAATTCCAATTCCGGCGAACATTGTCCTTAGGAATATTACCAGTAATCAGGATGAAGTGCCGTATCGTAATGAATATCTTATTACTTGGGTTTCCAACTATATTGCCACCGGGGAATTACGGCGAGTCAGTCGCTTGACTATCAAGAACCTTGCGTAACCTACGAATGGCTTAGTCG